CCCCCGTGACGGGCCACAATTCCCACGGGATCGGCCACCACTCCCACGGTCCCCGTGACTGGCCGTGATTCCCACGATCTCCCCAGGGCCGGCTTCCACTCCGGACACAGAGGGCTGTGGTCTGCGGCCAGTCTCCACCCCAGCTCTCACAGTTATCCATCCCTCTGCAGTCTGTCTTAATTTACAGTGACCCTGTTACATACGACCAGAGGAATCACTGTCCCGTCCTGTGCCATTCACAAAACTATGGCGGCACTTGAGTCCATTGCTGCTGTCACTGTGTCAATCTGAATCATTTAGAGAGTCTCTCTTTTTCCATGATTCCCTCCTTTCCAAGCACTCTCCAGAGACTGGTCTTTCCTAATAAAGTGCCAAAGTCTGTGGAAAGTCTCACCACCTTTGCATCTAAGGATTATTCTAGTTGCAATTCTTCCAAGATGGATTTGATTGTTCTTCTGCCAGTTCATGGTATATTCAATATTCTTTGCCAACACCACAATTCTAAGGCATCAGTTCTTCTCTGACCTTCCCTATTCATTGTCTAGCTTACTTGTAATCAGGCACACTTTAGCCCTTACAGGGATTTGCTTTTTAACGTTTCAAAGTTTTGTTTTTCGTTTTGAAAGTTTTTTGTAGCCGATTTGCCCACTCCAATGGGTAGTTTGATGGCAGAAAATGACAACAATCTGTGCTCCAGTAGACTAATTCCTGGGATAGAGCCCTGTGAAGACCTTCCACTCTTTGCTCTTTGTTTCTGTAACTTTTCTCATTTCTATCTCCAGTATGTTTCATCTTCTCAATATCTCTTTGTTACACTCAAAAGTAGTATCTATGACCTTCTCAGGCTTATAAATCAGCACAATGTGTTCTCCAGTACCTCTCCTCCCCATTCCTCACTGTTGCAAACCAGTGAACATTTGGTCTCCAACTAGAGACAGAGAAGGAACACCAGCATAGGAGTCAGAGCAGTCAGCATCTGCCGCAAAGCTGAAAACCTGGGCAAGTAAGTTACTTCATCATTCTGAATCTGAATTTTCCGTCTGGCTGAGGGTGATAATATGATGAAAAGAGGTGATGTACATAGTGCCAGGTGGATCTCAGCTACTTCCTAGTGCTACCAGCAAAATGCTAGGTGCTGAGAATTATCATTCTTTTCATTCCAAGTCCAAGGGTCATGTTCAGATTTTAAAGTTCTGCTTCCCTAATTCTCTCCCTATGTCCCTGGTATACCAATGATTGTGAATGTCTTCTGGACTCTCTCAAGGAGTTATGGTGTTGTGGTTAAAGCCTTCGCTACTAGTTAAAAGCTGGGCAATTTGAACCCTCTCAGCCTCTCTGCAGTAGGAGGATGACATAGTTTGCTTCTGTAAAAATTTACAGGCCTGGATACCCTAGGAGGCAGTTCTAGTCTGCCCTACAGGGTTTCCAGGAGCAGGGAGTTGAATAAATGGAAGTGGACTTCTGGGTTCTTTCAACACTATTTAAAGCAAAATTCTCTATTTCACCTTACATCCAGAGAGCCTTTTAAAGACAAAAGCTCTTTATCCTCTTCAATTCTAAAAGGAGTCTACTTTTATGAAAATACTTTTTGTGTGTTTATGTTTAAATGTTTTCCTACATGTCTTAAGTTGAATATTACTATTTATTATATAGGAACCTTGTTAGCAAGAAAGCCACAATTTTCAGCATAGAACCTTGTTAGCAAGAAAGCCACAATTTTCAGCATATTTGATAGTAACCAAAGCTAAAACTTGGTATGTCTATGTTAGAATCCTATTATTATCTAGATTACATTTTAGGAATAGTCTTTTTTATTATAATGGCTAGAGTAATTTTAAACAGATTTTATTTCCATATTTTTCCAGCTCTTTTGGTCTGACATGGCAGAAAGCCCCATGAACAAGCCTGTACCCAATGATGAAGATACAGTGAGTGTATTTCCATATAAAACTCTACTTTCACTTTTCAGGACAACCATATGTTTTCAAAAGGCCTACTCCATAAACTGGAGCAGACTCATGAAAAGGCTTATGTTGGAATTTTTATGTTGATTTAAATCAATTTGTATTTATATTGGTTAAGTTAAATAGTAGCAATGAATTAAGTCGTGTTAAGTACTATTGACTGTTTCCTGTGCTTGCTGACTTTGTTTAGGAGCACAAAAGGTTACTTAACAATGGAAACAAATTGAAATTCCAGAACCTTCCACAAACAGTTAAATGAAATTACTTTAGGATGTGACTGGGTGGCTGCTTCTTGGTTCTTTTACTGAGTTAACCAACACTTCTAAGTTCTATTTTGGGGTGTGTTTTCTAGAGGGGCCAGCCCTTGGTAAAGGTGAAAGGTTAGAGGAAGACCTTCAACAAGATGAAACAACCCAGTGACTGTGCCAGTGGGTTCAATGGTGAGAATGGTGAGGGATGTGGCAGGGTTCAGATTTCTTCTACTCCCAGTCAATGCACCTCAGGTATAACCACCTACCTGTTGCTATGATGTTGAATAGTTTTCTCTGGAGCTTCTAGATTAAGAAAAACAAGTTCTTCTTTCAGTCTTCCTTTATTCCCTCTCTTCTTTCCTCTCCTTTTCTTTGTTCTTCTCTCATTCCTCCTTCCTACCTTCCTGATGGTTTAAGGAACAATAAGTCAGTATCAATTGCTGTATCCCCTGTGGTACTGCATGTACCAGTGTGCCTCTGAGCTGAGCAAGTATCACAGGAAATTCAGGCAGCCACAGCCTTTTGTCTCTATACATGGATCTCTATGTTGTTGTTGTTCACTGCCAGCACGACTCATAGTGACCCTATGAACAAAAGGCCTGAAGCCTTTCTAGAACTATCGTCAATTCTCAAAGTTCATAGTTTCCAGGGGCATGTTGTTTAGGAAGTGGATGCCACTCCTGCTCCCAATGAATCACCGTCGTGGCTTTTTTTCACCTCCAAACCTGCGTTACAGTATTAAATTATTACTTAAAACCAACTTAGTTTCTTACCTCTTTTTTCTCTTTATGCTTTTATTAAGGAACCCTGGTTGTTTATACCAAATAAATGGTGCATTATGCCAAAGGATCATCTACTGGAACCCGCTAGCCACTCCCCCAGAGAAAGATCAGCCAGTCTCTTCCCATCAGGGTTTAAAGCCTGTGTAACCCAGTGGAGGGAAGGTTTCCAGGAGTCAGAGTTGATTCCTAGGCGATGAGTAGGGTGGATGCATTCATTTAACTGTGTCAGTGAGCCACAGCCCACAAGGACGTGCTTACTTTGAGAGCTGTAAGTGGAACAGGATACCTTTCAAGTCTGTTAGATTTCACCTAGTTTTCTTATCCATTATAATGACTTATTGTCGTGTTATTTCCCCCATCATGTATCATCTCCTTTTTCAGGCTTCTCTTTGTACCTTCTAAAAGTGGGCACTTCCCATGTCTTGCTCTTGTCATGCACTTTTTGTTTTACTTTATCTGCTATGAAGCCTTGACTGTACTCCCAGGTAATTGTTTTTGAGAGTATTTCTAAACTGGCTTTTCAAAAATTGGCTTCAAAACTCAAAGTTATCTTTCACTTACACATGTCATTGTTGTTGTTACGTGCTGTCGAGTCATCTGCAACTCATAGCGACCATATGTACAACAGCCCTAAACCCTGCTCTATCCTGTGCCAATCCTATTGTCTCTGACACACCTACCCCCATGACGCTAGTAATTTCATCTCATCTGGGGACTTCCTCTCCTGTGCTGTCCCTCCACCCTCTCCAGCATGACGTCCCTCTCCAAGGACTGGTCCCTGCTTGCAAGATGTCCAAAGTATGTTAGATGAAGCTTCAGAATCTTTGCCTCCAAGGAGCAGCCTGGTTTAACCCTCTCCGGGATGAACCGGTTCAAGGCCTGCATCTTTCAATATAGATTGAAGTGCAATGTTAAGAAAACAAAGATTCTCACTACTGGGTCAATTGCCAGCATCGTGATAGATAGTGAAGAGATTGAGATTAAACAGTATTTTAATTTGCTTGGCTCCATAATTAACAACACTCTTGGCACCAACAGCCAGGAAATTTAAAGACGTACTGGGTTGGAAAAGTCTACCATTAGAGATTTCTCCAAAAGTACTGAAGAGCACATACATATAAATACTAAATTTATTTTTTTAGTGCATAGCAATTATGCTGTATTTAAAATTCAGGTTTTGATGAAAGCAGGCAGAGGTTCCATTGGCTGTCCACTAAATTTATTTTTTGATCATCTTTTTATAAATCATAGTATTTGATTAGGCATCAAGTTCTTTTGACTTTTTAAAAACACCTCTCCTTTCTTCCCATTCTTATTGTAGTTTTATTAACCAGTTGCCATTGATTCAACTCTGACTCAAGGTGACACACGAGTGTCAGGGTAGAGATCTGCTCCACAGGATTTTCAAGGACTATTTTCCTCATACATAGGCATTATTTAATCCTCTAAGGCACATGTTCAAGGCTACCAGCTGCTTTGTGGGAGAAGGATGGGCAATCTCCTCTCCCATAATTTGCTGCCACTGTAAACCTGCTGAAGGGTCAGCTATGGGTCAGTTCCTATTCTATGGTACAACACACACCACACATAGGCATTAGATACCATTTCAGAAAAAGAACTACTTTGAAATTGGTTCATCCGAACGTATTTATTCTGCAACAATGTTGTCACTATGTATATCCTCTCTTGTTCTGGGAGATTTGCTGTGTGGGTGAGAACCAGGTCCTGACAGGGTCAAGGTTTCTGACAGGACAGTGCTCTGTGGCTGTTCCACTGGTACTAAAAGCAGTTTGATCTGGCACCTCCCAGAGCTCCAGTCTTAAAAATGAGAAAAGTCTGATCAAAGAGATTCTAAGTCAAAGAGATTGAGGGTCTAAGCCAGCCTAGGGAGGACAGAATCTTTCCGGTGGAACAGAAGGGCAAAAGCTCCTTTGATCTTGATTTCACTATGAAAAGCAGGGCCTCAACATCCTTCTGACCTTTGAGGTTTTAAGCAGGATGTATCAGAAAAGTTACCAAAAGGATAAATGGCTTGTGGCAAAAAAGTAAAAAAAAAGAAAGAAAGAATGAGTGTCCACATGTATTATTGTTACAGTAAAATAATTTCAGATTATTTGGATTAGAATGTTCCTTTCAGAAGTAGGGAGGAATCTTTAAAAATTACCAGATATGTTAAACTTTGTGTTTGGGGTTTTTTTTAAAGCATCACTGTTTGGGGAGCTCTGGTGGCCTAGTGGCAAGATGCTGTGCTGCAATCCCAAAAGCATGTGCTTCGAGGCCACCAGCTGCTCTCCTGGAGGATGGGCAATCCCCTCCCCTGAGAATAACTGCCTCTGAAAACCTGCTGAAGGGTCAGCTCTGGTTCAGTTCTGACTCTATAGTACACAACAACAACAACAATATGAAGAGTAATATACATAAATGATGCACAATGTATAGGAAGCCTATATGCAAAAGAGTATAAGATAAAAATAAAGTGGAATTTTTTTTAAAAAAAGCACAATGTTAGGGAATTGCATATCTTTTGGTTTCTTATTTCTCACTTGGTTGTATTTTTCAGTTTTTTGTTGTTGTTGTTGTGAGCTGTCGAGTCAGAATGGACCTATAGCTGACCCTGCAGTGGGTTTTCAGAGACAGTAAATCACACAGGAGAATATTGGTCATCCTTCTCCCACAAAGCAGTTGGCAGACTCAAACCACATGCCTTTTGGATTGAAGCACAACGTCTTACCACTAGGCCATCAGGGCATCTTGTGTTCAGTTCCGTATTGCTAGACATCCACCACTACCCTCTGACCGTTTGCCATGCTACGGTGGCTGGCATGCTGCTATGATTCTGGAAGCTACGCCACTGGTGTTTCAAATGCAGCTTGGGAGTAAATGAGAACAGAGAGCCCAGTGACAGTTCAGAGAACACATGGCATTATGAAGTGTTGAGCAGCATGCCTGAAGTCCCTGGTCCCAGCGAGATGGTTTGGAGTTCAAATTTCTCCCCCATGAGATGTATTTAGTAAACAATTGTAACCCTTAAAAACAATTTAAACCCTTAAAAGGCCATAAGGGCTATGGTTCAGGTCAAAGAAAGGACCTTCTTAGGTCTGAGGATATAACTAAAATTAGTCCTAATATGACTCCACTGAAAAGTTGTCACTTCAAACCCACCCAGTGACTCTGAGGAAGGAAGTCTTGCTGATTTGCTCTTGTAAAGACTGCAAGCTGTGGGGTCACTATGAGTTCAAATCTACTTGATGGCACCTAAAAAATGACTTATCTATACTATTTACTATTAACTGATTTCTAGCTTCTAGGGCACTGTTATTAGCAACAGATGCCTTCAAACAGTTGTCTTAACAGACGTTTTCAAAGGGTCAATAAGAGATTGGAAGTTAAAATATTTTTAACTCATACACCTGAAATTTACTTTGGTTTCTTCATATCCATTAGTATATGTTGTGTTTCTTTAATATTTATCTTTTTTCCTCTATGGAAAAAAATCTTTGTTTCAAAGTAATACATTTTATTTTACTTGGAACTATGACCACCCAATGCCCTGAAGCAGCAGTCAATAGATAATGTATTGCATCAAGAAAATCTGTAGCAAATGACCTCTTTTAAAGTATTTAAAAACCAAAACAACAGAAAGATGTCACTTTGTGGACTAAGGTGCACCTGACCCAAGCAATGGCATAATTTTTTCAGTCCCATTATATGCATGTGAAAAGTGAGTAATACATAAGGGCGACCACATAAGAATGTACTTTGAATAATGGTGTTGGTTAAGTGCTGAAGACAGAATGAACTGACAGAAGAATGAACAAACCTGTCTCAGAAGAAGTATAGCAAGACCCTTCCTTCCAAGGAAGGATGGTGAGACTTCCTCTCACATGCTTTGGACATGCCACTGGTCATGTCGCAGGAGAAGGACATCATGCTTAGTAGAAGTAGAGGGTCAGCGTTAAAGAGAGACCTGCAACCATGATGCCTGCAATTCTGGGCTCATCACAGCAGTGACTGTGAGGACGGTGCCAGCCGGGAGAGTTTGTAAAACTGCACACAGAAAAGTCAGTATTCAGAGCTCACTGTGTCAGCACTGACTCAACGGTTCCACATCACCACCACCACACTGGAACTCTCTTGTGTTACTTCCTCTGTTCCCTATTTATTTTTAAATAGAAAAACAATCTCTGGGTGTGGGGAGAAATAGGTTAGCTTTGTAATAGTGGGGAGCTCTGATGGTGTTATTCAGAGGAAGGTTAGGTGCTAACCCACAGGCCATGCCTCTCTGGTGGTTCAAATCCACCAAGAGCTCTGAGGGAGCGAGATGGGCAATCTCCTCGTGTGTGATTTCTACAGCCCGAGAAACCCACTGGAGAGTCACAAGTCAAAGAGAGTTATAGGTAATACAGATACATAATATGCATAATCATGATACAAAATAGTGATTGTGAAAACTATGTATTTGATTGTATTTACTTTATATAAAGAGAATAAGAAATGGGGGGTGGGGTTCTGAACACCAAACTACTCAATCTATTTGCATTGTCTGTAGTATGATTAAAAAATCTGTTTATTCTGATAAATTATAACGATGGTCTTTTCAAATATCTTCATTTCCTCTTCTATTTTTTTTAAATTTTATTATTTTTGTGTGTGTACCGTCAAATCAGATCTGACTGGTACAAAAGGAGATTGTCCCTCCTTCTCCAGAAGAGCCTCTGGTGGATTCAAACCATGTACCTCTGGGATTACAGTGCAGCTTCTTGCCACTAGGCCACCAGAGCTCCCCAATTTCCTCTTCTATTTAAAATCCTTTCATTACTCTCTCTTTAAGGACAAAGAAGAAAATATCCGTTGCTTAACTCTGCTTGACCATTTTGGCTTTGAGTGTTTACCCCACCAGCTGGTGACCAAATATATGAAAGAAGGATTCTCCTTTAACATTCTCTGTGTGGGTAAGTCCTCTGGGTGCAGTGGGTTAACATCGACTTTCTTTAAGCTTTTCAGTGCTCTTCAAAATTTATGTATGTACATCCTCACACAGGACAGAAGGGAGTTTAGGGCTGTTGTACATAGGGTCGCTATGAGTCGCAAGCGACTTGACGGCAGATAACAACAACAACAACAATCCTCACGCATGTGAAGCTCTGGAGGCCTAGCAGTTAAAGCGTTCTGCTGTCATCCCATAGGCTGATGGTTCAAATCTACCAGTTACCCTGAGGAAGAATGGACAATCTCCCCTGAAAATACATTGCAGGCTCAGCGATAGGTTGGTTCTGACTTGATGACAATGAGTCTCATTTACTTATATGTTTAGTAGCCTGTTGTTGTTTGTTGTTGTTGTGTTCCATCAAGTCGGAATCAACCCGTAGCTGGTCCTCCAGCGGGTTTTCAGAGGCAGTTCATCACATGGGTGGAGACTGCCCACCTTTCTCCCATGGAAATTCAAACCGTGTGCCTTCAAGATTTTTTTCTTACTACTTGGCTATCCTTTTTAGTAGCCTAGTGGCTAGGAACTGCTCTGCCAACCCAAAAGAACTTGCTTTGGATCCACTAGCTGCACCTCTGGAGAAAAATGGGCAATCTCCTCTAGTGTGATTTACAATTTTTAAAAACTCACTAGAAACCCACTAGCTGTGAGCTATGAATTGGTTCCAACTTGATGGCATATAATAACTACATGGTATAGGATAGGGCAGGGTTTACATTCATTGTTCATAGAGTCCCTATTAGTTATAGTCAACTCCATGGCACCTAACTACAATGCTGGAAGGATTTGAGACCCTTTACTCCCTTCTAGAGAAGCTCTGGTGGCCTCGCTGCACTGCAATCCCAAAGGCACATGGTTCAAATCCACCAGCTGCTCTACAGGAGAAGGATGGGCAATTTCCTCCCGTTTGATTAAACTGTCTCTGAAAACCTGCTGGAGGATCAGCTGTGGGTCGGTTCTGACTCAATGGTACACAAATAAAACAACAACTTACACCAGTCTAGTGGTTATTTCTTCTCAGCCAACTTATATCTGAGTGATGATATACTTGTGTTTATTACAGGGGAAACTGGGATTGGAAAATCAACCTTGATTGACACATTGTTTAATACAAATTCTAAAGAACACAAATCCTCACACTTTCACTCAACTGTTGGACTTAAAATCCAGGCACATGAACTCCAGGAAGCTAATGTTCACTTGAAACTAACTGTTGTGAAAACAGTGGGATATGGCGACCAGATAAACAAAGAAGGCAGGTTGGTATGCTCTTATTTTAATTAGACGAGATTTTCTTATTTCAAAGATTTTTGCCTTCGTTATTCACGGACTAAATTATATTGTTTCCTAGTTTTAATTTTTCCCTACATAATATTATTTTCTTATGAAATTGACTCTTTTAAGAGTACCCAGTTATCTAACATCAATGTTGACTTGACAATTCATAGCAAAACTGTAAAGACTTCTGGTGGCACAGTGGTTACATGCTGGGCTACTGACCAAAAGTTTGGTAGTTTGAACCTACCCTCCACTCTGGAGGAGAATGATGAGGCAGCTTGCTCCTGTGAAAACTGACAGCTGTGAAAACCCTGAGGGGTGTTTCTAGAGACTCAATATGAGCCTAGGTTGTGGTTGGAGGATGTTTGTTAATGTACTTTATTTTTTTTTAGTTTTATTATTTTGTGTGCATGTACCGTCAAATCAGATCTGACTGGTACAGGAGGAGATTGTTCCTCCTTCTCCAGCAAAGCATCTGGTGGATTTGAACCGTGTACCTCTGGGATTGCAGTACGCCTTCTTGCCACTAGGCCACCAGAGCTCGCCTGTTAATGTACTTTCTATTTATGCTTGACTTTATGCCTGTCTTTTTCCTCTGCAATGATGAAGGCTTCCATTGCCCCTGAATTATATTTAAACTATCTATGAAAAAGAGAAATAAATTGTGGAATTGAGATCCCATTTGAATCCTTATTCCTTTCTGGAATGTTTGCATACTTATCTCTTCCAGCTACCGACCCATAGTTGACTACCTGGATGCTCAGTTTGAGGCCTATCTCCAGGAAGAACTGAAGATCAAGCGTTCTAAGTACCACGATTCTCGCATCCATGTGTGCCTCTACTTCATCTCGCCCACGGGACATTCTCTGAAGTCACTGGATCTAATAACCATGAAGAAGATTGACCATAAGGTATGTCCAGTGAGTCCATTAGCCTTTCAAGATTTAGGGTTTCTCTTAGACTGATAACAAGACTTGAAGATCTTTCACACATGTATCTGTTCTTCTTTAATGTATGTATATAGATAATGAATTGAATTTCCCTCCCTCCCTGTTCATTATTTAAGGCATTGGGTAGATGTCATCTTGAGCTTATTAGGGAAACTTAATTTAAAACTATTTGGGGGGTGGTTTGGGGAGGTGGGGAGATCTGGTGTGAGGGGCAATGTATAAAAGCTTTGTACATAAACCAGTATTAAAAAAAAAGATTTGCAAGAAAAACAGAAAAAACAAACCCAACTCTTTATTTGCTGTTAAAGCATGAGGATTCTAAATGTCATAAAACAAAATGTGCACAGACTGTTGAATGGAAAAGCCAATCTGTTCTGTACATTTTCACTCAAAACACAATAAAAATTAATGCAAAACAAAATAAAAAAATCAGACTGTATTTGGTTACAGTTTAGAATGTATTAAGATACAAGGTTCGAATCCACCAGATGCTCTGCTGGAGAAGGAGGGACAGTCTCCTCTTGTACCACTCAGATCCAATTTGACAGTACATATGCAAAAAATAATAATTTTTTTAAGAAAGAAAGAATTAAGATAAAATTGGAATTAATTTTTTTCTTATGATTAAATGGTAATTCAGACCATAGTTATTTGGCCCTGGGTTTTTGTTGGGTTGGTTTTGGGGTTTTTTTCACTGAATTCACTATATGGTTTTATGATATAAAAAGATCTGAGTAAGGTCTAGTATTCAATGAAATGTTGTTGTTGTTGTTGTTATGTGCCGTCGAGTTGCCTGCGACTCATAGCGACCCTATGTACAACAGCCCTAAACTCCGCTCTGTCCTGTGCCAATCGCACTGTCTCTGACACTCCCATCCCAATTATCCCAGTCACTGAATCAATCCACCTCATAGAGGGCCTTCCTCTCCTGCGCCGTCCCTCCACCCTCCCAAGCATGATGTCCCTCTCCAAGGACCGGTCTCTCCTCACTACATGTCCGAAGTAAGTTAAACGGAGCCTCAGAATCCTTGCCTCCAAGGAGCCACCCGGTTTAACCCTCTCCAGGACAAATCTATTTGTTTTCCTAACAGTCCATGGTATTCTCAGTACTCTTCTCCAGCACCACAGCTCAAAGGCATCAGTTCTCCTTCTATCCTCCTTGGTCATTGTCCAACTCTCTGATGCATAACAGGTGATTGCGAAGACCATGGCCTGTATCAGACGCACCTTAGTCTCCAGAGAGACACCACTGCTCTTCAGCACTTTGGAGAGGTCCCTAACAGCAGACTTTCCCATGGCAATGCACCTTTTAATTTCCTGGCTGCTGGTGCCAAGACTGTTGACTATGGAGCCAAGCAAACTAAAGCTATGTACAATCTCAATCTCTTCACCATCCATCCTGATGCTGCCGATTGGTCCAGTGGTGAGAATCTTTGTCTTCTTGACACTGAGCCTCAATCCAGATTGCAGGCTGCAGTCCTTGACACTCTGCAGCAGGCGCTTCAGGTCCTCCTCAGTTTCAGCAAGCAGGGTTGTGTCATCCACATAACGCAGATTGTTGATAAATCGTCCACCAATCCTGACCCCACATTTCTCCTCATAGAGCCCAGCCTCCCGGATAATCTGTTCTGCATATAGGTTGAAGAGGTATGGAGATAGGATGCATCCCTGGCGTACACCCTTCCCAATTTTGAACCATGCAGTGTTCCCTTGCTCTGTTCTGACGACTGCCTCCTGGTCCAAGTATAAGTTTCACATTAGAACGATCAAGTGTTCTGGGATTCCCATTCTTCTCAGAGTCAGCCACAGTTTGTTATGATCTACACAGTCAAATGCCTTTGCACAGTCAATGAAGCACAGATAGACATTTCTCTGGTATTCCCTGCTTTCAGCCAAGATTCATCTAACATCAGCTACACAACTGGAACAGTACATCAACAGAGAACTACCAGAAGTCCAGGCTGGTTTCAGAAGGGGTCGTGGTACTAGAGATTGTACTAGAGATGTACTAGATTCAATGAAATATCTTATAAAATGTATTTTCATGTTAATTAGAAATGATTTCTGAATTTCTTAATGAAGAATTAAATATGCATACATACATGCTATGTACTGCTATACTTCAAGATACTGTAGGCTGGTTCTAGACCTACACAATAAAACAATATCACAATAAAGCAGGGCACACAATCCTGTGTGTTGCCTGGTGCATAGAAAGTGAAGTTGGGTCCTGTAATGAGAATTCAGAATTCAAATGTTTCCGGGCAGTTACTGCTTCCTGTGTAGAATCAGGCATGGGAATTATGGTTCCTTCTGGCTTAACACTGAGGTGAATGTAAACATGGGATGCTTAATCCCCAGGCCCACTCTCACTGTCCATTTGGGCTTTCAGCTCACTGTAATAGAGTGGAACTACCCTCAGGGTTTCCAACAGGAAAGTAGACTGCCTGCCACGGGGCCTTGCCAGGGCTCCTGAAATAAATGACAAAAACAAAACAAACAAAAGGTGCCATCCAGTGTGCTCCAGCTCACAGACACCTTCCATGGATTTCCAAGGCTGAAAAATTTTCCAGAAGACCGTCACATCTGTCTCCTGAGGACCAGCTGGCAGATTTGAACCACTGACCTTTGCATTGTTGTTGTTGTTTAATGCCGTCGAGTCGTAGACGACTCATAGCGACCCTGTGAACGAACAGCCTAAGCACTGTTCGTACATAGAATTTCCGGAGGCAAGCCATTTCAGAAGTGGATGCCGCTTTGCATTAGCAGTCCAATTATTTAAATGAATGGCAGAAGGCAGTTCGAGTCTGCTAGCAGCTCTGACAGAGAAAGATGGGCAATCTCCTCGGATGTGATTCACAGCCTTAGAAAACCCGACTGCGAGGGACAGCCGTGAGTCAATGCCATCTCAATGGCACGTAACAAGTAACTATGGTCTGAGCTTAGTGACCTCAGCTCGTCAGAGATTGTTACGTTTTCACTGCAGAAACAACTGGATCAGCATCAAGGATGAGGTTTTCATCTGTCTTCCTTCTCCACAGGTGAATATCGTGCCACTGATCGCCAAAGCTGACACAATTTCAAAAACAGATTTACCGATGTTTAAGAGTAAGATAATGAGCGAACTGGCGAAGCAGGGCATCCAGATCTATCAGTTCCCGGTAGATGATGACGTCACTGCTCAGACCAACTCCTTGATGAAGGTAAGCGTCTGTGCGTCCTGCAAAGGAGCTCTGGTGGCACTGTGGAGTAAGCACTGGGATGCTAAGAGAAAGGCTGGCTGTTTGGGGCCACTGTGAATAATGGTGCCATGAACATTCCTATACAGTATTTTTGTTTTGTGTTGTGTTTCACACACACACACACACACATACAGACTAAAAAGCATTCCTCTTTCAATTTATCATGGCAGGAGGCTTGAATTAGAATCTGTTCAATACATAGTTTTCTGTATGTGTTCTGTGGGTGAGGTTTACAGAGATCAGCCAGCAAGCAGTCACCACCAAGTGTTCAAATCTGAGACAAGGGAGGGATCTTGTCTGTGTAAATCATGACAGCTGAGGAGCAGCCAGCATGCTCCTTGGAGGCAATGATGGTGAGACTTCATCTTGTTTACCCGGGTATGTTATCAGGAAGGACCAGTCCCTGGAGAAGGACATCATACTTGGTAAAGTAGAGGTCAGCGAAAGGCTGGGAGAGCCTCAAGGGGATGGACTGACAGGGCGCCTGCAGCAAGGGGTTCATGCCTGCAGCAAGGGGCTCATGCCTGCAGCAAGGGGCTCGTGCCTGCAGCAAGGGGCTCGTGCCTGCAGCAAGGGCCTCAGTGCCTGCAGCAAGGGGCTCGTGCCTGCAGCAAGGGGCTCGTGCCTGCAGCAAGGGGCTCGTGCCTGCAGCTGTGCATATGAGGCTGGGCTGGCTAAGCAACGGGCCTGTTCTGCTCTGTTGGATGTGAGGCCACTTTGAGTGAGAATGGCCTGACAGCATGTGATGACAACACAATGACAGTCCCTTTACGGTATTACCGATGTCTGAGTGAGCCCCAGTGGCGTGGGGGAGACTGATGCTGTGGCTGTTCTCCAGGCACAACTGCCTTTCGCTGTGGTGGGGAGCGTGGAGGAGGTGAAAGTCGGCAGAAGGACAGTCAGAGGCCGCCAATACCCCTGGGGGGTTTTACAAGGTAAATATGAAGACTCAGGGCAGGCTGCAAGTGGCAGCCCATTTCCTGGGCCCTTAAGGAGACCTGCTAGAGTAGTGTATTACTTATTGGGCTGTTAATCCAAACATCAGAGGTTGGAGTCCACTTGCTGCTCTGTGGGAGCCGTCTCTTCCCATAAGGAAACCTGATGGAGGCTCCTTAGGAATCAGAGTCCATTTGACAGTTGTGGTTTTGGTTTTAAATGGATCTCAGAAGCCTTGCTGATTCAGTGATTAGGCGCTCAGCTAACCAAAACATGAGTGGTTTGAACCCACCAGCCGCTCTGAGGGAGGAAGACGTGGAGGTCTGTGTCTGTAAGACTTCCAGCCTTGGCCACCCTGTGGGTGCTTCTGCTCTGTCCTGCAGAGCTGCTGAGTCAGAATCCACTAGACAGGAAAGTGGGTGTCCCAAGTTTAGTTGAATCTGCTTCTAACAACCATAGTTTCACAACTAAGAACAGTAGCTACTTACCCGACGGGGTCACTTCGCTGTTGGATGTTTAGAACATGTTTATCATGAAGGCGTTCATTCAAGAGTCTCGAGTGCAGGGGCTCATCCGAGGGTGTTTGCTCTGTTGATTTTTTCTGACTAGTGGACAACGAGAACCACTGCGACTTCGTGAGGCTCCGGGACATGCTCCTGTGCACGAACATGGAGGACCTCAAGGAACAGACGCACACCCTTCACTACGAACACTACCGGAGCGTCAGGCTGAAGCAGATGGGCTTCAGCGAGGTCGGTCCCAACAACCAGCCCATCAGGTGAGAGGACCTCAGTCCCACAGCTGAAGAGGAGGCGTCTGGGCAGGCCCACGGCACGCCTTACCTCCTGATCTCTCAGTATCCTCTTGCAAGCGGAGGAACTCTGGTGGCAAAGTGTGGGACAGGTTAGGCTGCTAACTGGAGGCCGAGGGTTCCGATCCGCCAGCTGCTTCATGGGAGAAAGTCAAGGAGTCTCCTCCTGTGAAGATCTGTTGTTGTCAGGTGCTGTGGACTCCTAGTGACCCTGTGAATGGCAGATCGAGTCCTGCCCGTCCTGAGCCATCCTCACCGCCTCTGCTATGCTTCAGTATATGTTACAGTCACTGTGGCAATTTTTCTTGTTGACGGTCTTCCTCTTTTTCTCTCACCCTCTACTTTTTTCTGGAATAATTTATTTTCCCCCCAAGGACATTTTCATCCTTGCCTCTAAGCCCAGGACCAGACAAAAAAGTATAAAACCCCAGCTGTTTAGAGCCTAGAACCAAGTTTACAGCCTGTTCAGGAAATGGCAAACAACCTAGATAAGTTTAAGAAACTCTCTGGGGTAGGAAACTCAAGGCAACGGTGACTCCTCAGAGTTTACGGGAAAACAAATCTCTCAAGTCCTTTTTCCAAAGAGCATTAAAGGCCTTATCATATGAAGGAACTAATTTCTTTTAAAAAAGCCATTACTTGGTTCAAATCCACCAGATGCTCTGCTGGAGAAGGAGGGGCAATCTCCTCCTGTACCAGTCAGATCTGATTTGACGGTACACGCACAAAATAAAAAAATAAAAAGAGGGGAAAAAAATAAAAAAAAAAAAAGCCATTACTGCTGAGTTAATTCTGATTCGTTCTGACCAGGTAGGATAGAATAGAAATGCCCTACAGGATTTCAGAGGCTGCAGACCTTCTCAGAAGCAGACTGCCGCATCTTTCTCTCGGGGAAATAGCCCACCTTTCAATCAGCAGCCAAGCACATACCGTTGTTTGGCTCCTTAACATCAGGACTCCTTAACATGGAGATCATTCATTCTGATTTATGCTGAAATGTGTATCTGAGGGGAAGACAAATTATTTTTGTATTTATATGAAACAGACTCAGGAAGTGTTTTAAAATTCTCCCACAGCAGAAAGATGTGGCAGTCCGCTTCTAGAAAGATTTACGGCCCCAGAAACCTTATGGGGCAGCTCGATCTTGTCCTACAGGGTCACTATAAGTTGGAATAATCTCAATAGAAATGGGAGGGTGTATATACTGTTGTGGCAAAACAGTTAAAGCACTAATATGAAGGTCTTAGGTTCAAATCCACTCAGCAGTAGAAAAAGAGCTGGTCATCAACTTCTATAAAGATTGTGCCCGAGAAAAATCCCATGGTGCACTATTACTTTGTCACATGGTGTCACAATGAATTGTTATCAGCCAAGCAGCACCTAACAACAACAAATGGACTGTGATTTTAAATATAAAGGCCTGTTTTTTTTACTCTTATGTATTTTGTAGCTATGCATAAGGGAATATTGGAAAATGTTTTTATTGTTGTTATTAGGTGCTGTCAAGTCAATTCTGATTCATAGCGGCCCTGCAGACATGGAATGAAACACGCCAGGTGCTAAGCTCTCCCCAGGATCACTGCTGTATTTGAGCCCATTTTCACATCTGTGCCAATCTGTCTTATTAAAGGTCTCCCTCTTTTTTCCACCGACTCTCTAACAAGCAGTACTTTTATATAGGACCTACTATAGTAGTGGTACGGTGGTTTAAAAAGTTGGCTGCTAACCAAAAGGTCAGTGGTTCAAATCCAGGTGAGGAAGATATGGCATCCTGCCGTCGGTAAAGATTTACACGACCCTGGAGAACCTGTGGGGAGTTCTGTGTGGGATTTTGGCTTACTAACGTTTTAGAGAGAGTACTAAAACACCATTTTTTAAGTTTTCAAGAGATCTATGAAGCCAAAAGACAGGAGTTCGCTGAGCAGTGTCTCAGAGAGGAAGAACAACTGAAGCATAAATTTATGCAGCGGGTAAAGGAGAAAGAAATCGCATTTAAAGAAACGGAAAGAGAGGTAAATCTGCCTGGTTTTGTATCATTTCTCCATGTTTTCAGATTTCTTACTAACTTATTGAGTGTGGATTCCACTAGGTTTATTAAGATACTGTGTGTGGGAATGTAAAGTGAGGAAATGTTTTTCATTAGGAAAAGATGACTTTTAAATCAACTGTTTTTAATATTGTGCTTTGTGCATGCGTATGGGCTTTCTTAGATTTCCTTTGCACATTTTTTTTGTTTGTTTTGCATGGAAAGGCATTTAAAAATAAAGTCACTTAAGAAACTCGACGGTTGAATTACATACGGATTTTATAGATGGTTGCTGCTCTATTTGAAAGTGCTTGATAACTGGAAAAAATGAAAAGTGTGGTCCTAGGATTATGTACGGCTCTCTGCCTTGTTCATGCAGTCAGTGACTGATTTATAAATGTGTTCCATTCCTAAGTCCATCTTTTCCCCCCCTCTCTTTCTTTAATTGTGGTTTGCATTAAAGTTTACGGAGCAAATCAATTTCCCATTCAGCCATCGTTCATACTCATTTTTTTATGACCTTAATTAAAATAGTCATACAGCCACTACACTCTTCCCACTTCCCCTCTGTGATTCTCATTTCCACTGCTCTTATTCTACTTTTCCCAGCCTCTGAGCTTTTCCCCTGGGCCTGTGCTGCCCTTTGGATATAGTACAGTTAGTTGACCAGAGGAGTGCATGACTCTCTAGTGTTGTTGTCTCCTGTTGGTCATCTATTCCTGGTCTGAAACCTGAGCCACAGGCCCGAGTTTTGTTCCATACTCTTGTCTTTGAGTTAACATACAAGTTTTAACAGTCAGGTATGGTTTGACCTCAACAACATGTGTCTTAGTATATAGCATACTTTTCTCTGTAGAAAAACCATTATAGAAACACTTTCAGATACACTGAAATACCTTTAACACAATAATAAGGTGGAGGGTTTTTTTATAATAAAGTTTTGATTAAAATTGCAAAGCAGTGCTCATTTGTGATTACAAACCATCAGATAGACCTCGAATCTTTATATCAATTGCTTTCAGGGGGGCTGCCTATCTGTAAATCAGACGCTCTTACCCAGGTACTGTTAATGTCTGTGTCCTAGCTACAGGAACAATTCGAGCTCCTGAAAAGAATCCAACAAGAGGAGACAATGAAGCTTGAAGAAGAGAGGAGAAAGCTGGACGAAGAAATAATTGAGTTTTACAAAATGAAAGCAGCCTCGGAATCCCTGCAGGCCCAGCTGAAAAGGGACAAGGAGCGGAGGAAGTAGCCCTCTCCACTCTTCCCTAACCCTCTCTTCTCTGGTCTGGTCCAGAGCCCACCACGCTGGATCCCAGCGTCCTGCGAGAGGAGACAGCCTTCACAGCATCTAACTGCATTTGGAAGCACTATACTTTTTGAAAATAGATTTGCTTATGCACCTTCCCCAACTGGAAGGATTGCCTGGAGGGCAGATACCTGGTACCTCCATCTCAGCAGGTCAGCTAATACAAACCTAACACTAGCACTCCATAATTATTTTGCAAATGAACACTAATAAAATACATGATGAAAAATAAAACCACCTTGTTGCTGTTGACTCTGATGCAGCGGCTAGTTGTTTCCAAGCCTTTTTTCTGATGTGTTGTTGCAGAGTGAGGGTGAAGTATATTAATAAGTGTTAATAATGAGACAGAACACCAAGAATGTAGGAGAAAACAGAGGTGAAGCAGGAGGCAAACTGACCTGAAGCGCTTTAGCTTCCCTGTGCCTTTACCGAAAATTGCCAGGGAGCAGATCACCAAGAGAATTCAATGAAAATGAAGCTAAGCTCTTTTCTACTGAAAACCTTATGCTTGACTCAGGAGGGAGGGTTAGCAAATAGAAGAATCCTATAAAGCTTAATTACTGCCTTAGTGCCTACCGCTGTAAACATTTAAGGATTGTCTTAGTGCTTCAGGGTGAATTCCAGCTTGTATCAGCCTCCCTCATATCCTGAAGTAGGATTTGGTCGCTATGAGTCCAAACTAGCTATGACTCCAAACACAGCAACAACCACCTGTGTTTACCCCAACTACTTGGCTGCCTGAGCATAGCCCAGGAGGTTTAAATTTGCCCACAGCATGATGACACCAAAGAAAGAGGTTGGCAGTTCCACGACTGTGGTATGTTGCTGTTAAGTGCTTTTGAGTCTATCAGACTCCTAGTGTCCTTATGAACAGATTGGAAGCTAGCTCTATCCTGTGCCATGTTGACTGTGATATTACATAAAGGACTTACTGAGTGACCCCAGAGTCAACTTGAGTCTCCATGACCCCAGAGGAAAGCAGTTGTAGTGAACAAAGGCAGCGCGGTGCTAGGGTTCTGGGGCTCCAAGGCCACTCCAGTCAAGTGTCCCATGAGTAACTTAGCAAGCACAAGTGAGCAGCAAGCAAGAACTCGGCCGTATAAAGCTTTGCAAAAGTCTGTTCTCCTTCCCCCTCTATTGCTTCCTACACATCTTTCTCCCACACTATATCCTCGGATTCTAGGAAAAACAGAGCAATCTGATTTCCATGCTCACAGTTCAGAGGCGCATGTTTGATGAATGACTTGTTTGCTTCCATCAAGCCAGTTCCACTCCACCCTCTAGAGTTGATAGGCAGAATTGATCTCCAAGGTAGTGCGTTTGGTTTTGTAAATTTCCAGAGTTCCTGGGAGCCTGGGTTCCCTATATCTTTCATCTAGCCGCCCCTCTTTTCTCTCACAACCAATAGAAATTTTTGTTGTTGGGTGCCTTGAGTGGAGTTCCCCTTTTAGTAACCCTATGAAGAACAGATCCCAGTCCTGTCCCATATTCTGTGCCACGCTCATCGTCCCTGATTAACAGTAGAGCCCATGGCCGCAGTCACTGTGTCAATCCACCTCCTTCTGCCATCCCTCCATCCTTCCCAGCATGATACACTTTTCCAAGGGACAGCCTCTCCTAGCAAAATTGAAACAGATGAGAAACGAAGCTTTCCGAGCATTCCCAGCAAAGAGGAAAAAGAGAGGCTACCTTTCCTTCTCCCCTTCCTGCCTCTCCTCCTGTCTCCAGGGAAGAGGAGGTCCGGCAGAGACTCACCCCGCTGAGACTCACCCTGCTCTCTCGCACGTCCCCCGGCTCCGCCCCGCGGCTGCCTCGCCCTTCAGCTCATGGCGCTCCGGCCCGTCCACGTGCTGGCGCTGACCTGCTTCCCGTGAGCCTCTGCTCCCGCCCGCGCAGGCGTGCCTCCGCCCTACCCAGCATTCCTCGCGCGCCCCGGCCTGCGGACACCCAGGACTCCAAGATGGCCTCCGTCGGTGAGTCCTGGCTGCTTAGTGGGACTGTTTTACCGCCGTGCAGGAGGCTGGAGCCGGGGTCCAGTGGGGTTTGGGGGTGCACGGGGAGGGGAGCAGAAGAGGGGCACTATAGAGCCGACTGTCCTTCGCTCAGGGCCTCCCCTTAGCTGGGATCCTTGCATTTCAGGCCCCAGAGGGAGAGTGAGGGCAGGCGGGGTCAGCGTCCCCGGCGTGGGGACGCCGTCTTTCAGGCCCGCTTTTCTCCATGTTGCAACAGCATTTCTCCGCTGCATGCTTTGCGCTAGAATCTACGCGCAACCGTTGCCCTTCTTCCCCAAAACAAAGGTCACAGTCCGCTCGCGGAGGCGCTAAACCCTGTGCGCTGTCGGCTTATTAAACAGAGAAGTGACCTTGGACAGGTGACAGCTCCGGAGGGATCGGCTCTAACTGAAGCGTAGTCTGGGCCCGGTTAGAACACTAAAATTTATTCCCAAAGCTTTATGTGCCAGCTTTTCGGTGGCATGGATGTGTTCCTCTCTTCGCACCTCGCAATGTGTGCATTCGTTTTCTTTAATGGGTATGAAAATCTTGGTTTAGTCATTGACCTTTTCAGGAAATTAGTGTGCGGAGCTGACTCTAAAGCTGAGGAAGAGGACCGCCCATCAGAGCACACACAGCCAAGTTTTGATGACCCCTTGTGTGTTTGCCATTAGCGTCTGTATTTTTAAGCTCAGGCTGGGGAAGAGGAAGGTTCAGAAAAGACCAGAAGCAGCCTTCCCGTCTGCACATTCACTGTCTCCTCTTCTGGATGTGAAAAGGATTGTTGAGGCTTGTGTAGTCACTGCATGCACGCGGTGCGTGTTGAGTGCCATCAAGTTGGTCCCAGGTGACACGTAGAAGTGCCCCGTGGTAATGCTAATATTTATGTAGACAGATCACCACGTTGCTTTTTCTTGGAGCTATAGCTGGGTTTGAACTGCTGACCTTTAGGTTAGCAGCTGAACATACTGTGTCAAAATTAGAAATCCACTGCTCTTGTGTCTGTTCTGACTCTTGGGGCTCCTTTGTTTGCAGTAACTCTTTACAGAAAAAAAGAGTCTGTTCTCAGTGGTTTAGAACTGCTGATCTTCTGGTTCCCAGCCCAGCGTGCACTACACAACCAGGGTTCCTTGAGCATATTATCTATTGACATTAAGTTGATTCTGACCCATAGTCCATCATCTCAGTGGACCCTCATGGCTGATTCTCCATTGGGTTTCCAAGGTTGTAAATTGCACAGGAGGAGATTGATCATCTTCTTTATTTTATTATTTTGTGTGTGTACTGTCAAATCGGATCTGACTGGTACAGGAGCATATTGTCCCTCCATCTCCAGCAGAGCATCTGATGGATTCGAACCATGGACCTCTGGGATTGCAGTGCAGCTTCTTGCCACTAGGCCACCAAAGCTCCTTGCTCATCTTCTTTTGAGGAGTGACTGGTTGATTCAAATTGCCAGAGAACTGCTACCTTGGAGTAAGCAGCATAGCTAGCTCTCTGGACCGCACCCCTGGGCTGGCCCCCTGAACATTAAGTCGTTGCTTCATATTGGCTCAAGCTGAATGGGAACATGACCTTCAAGCCAAGCATGCTATTTTATTTGTCAGCTTGTGCCTCCATGTGTGGCTTATGGCCTCTTGACAGTCCATTTGAATTATGCCTTGCTTTCTGGTCTTGGAGCTGACCTGAAAGCCTTTGTCCTGTTTAGGGGTCAGTTCTTCTTGGTGGACTCTTGAAAGTGACCTTAGAGAAACCTTAGCCTTTCCTTGGATCCCAGAATGAAGAGGAAACCTTGGAGCACTTAGTCTGGCTCTGCCTGTGGTCGCTCGTATTGAAGACCACCTTGGAGTATCTCCTGTCCCTGCTCCACCCCCTCCCTTGGCTCTGCTTGTGTCCCTCCTGGCCCACAGAGATTAGCACACTGTGGCCTCAACCCAGGACCTTTCCTGTTTTCTCCCCAAGATGCTCACTGGGTAGTCTGAGGCCTGTTGGGTCATGTGGACTTCCACTAAGTTATTTGATTCTTGGGATATTTTGTCTGTTTTTTCCTGCCTCTCCAGATTGTTGACTTGGGGGACAGTCCTGGTAATGTAGGGTATTATGTGTTATCCTGCTAGCCAAGAGGTTGATGATTTGAATCCAGCAAGTGCTCTGAAGGATAAAGATGGGAAATCTCTTCTCATAAAGATTTACAGCCTGGAAAACCTGGTGGAATTGACCTGAGGGCATTGGGTGGGTCTGACTGAGTTTTTGGTCTTGCTAGGTGGGGTGCTTGAAGTAGAAATTCCTTGGGTATCTTTTGTTTTTATTGCCCTTGCTCAAGCAAGGGGAGATTGCACCCATTCAGACCTTGGTGATCTTTCCTGAAGCTTTTTAGTCATAAGTGCATCCAGTCAGTGGGCAGCTCAGCACATCACACTGCCCCTCATGCATCTCCTACTCTGAGCCTGACCAAGTTACCCAGCCTCTCTGAGTCTACTTCCCTCTATAAAATGAAAGCATCTAGTGCTCGGTAGGATTTTTTTTTAATTTATTAATTTTAATGAACATTTACAGAGATTTGGGGTTTTCATTCATTCATTGTTGCACT